GGCATCACCTTGGGAGTTTTACCACCTACTGATGCCCAAATCCCACCCCTAGAGAATCTGATCTAATTGGCCTGAGGTGGGGCCCTGGGCATCTGTTTTTTTTTTTTTTTTTTTTTTTTCAGAGCTTCCCAAGTATTCTTTCCAATGTGCAGCCAAGTTTGAGAACTACTGATTCAGCGTGATTCATACAAACCGGGAAGCATGACATATTGGAGGGGGCAGTTCATCAGATTCTGGGCATAAGAATCACCTGGAAGGCTCCTGAACACACAGGTTGCTGGACCCACCCCAGAGTTTCTGATTCCATAAATATGTGGTGTGGCCTGAGAATTTGCTCTCTAGCAGGTGCCACTGATGATACTGGCTCAGGGTCCTCGAGTGCCTAAGGCATCTGACTGCTAACCAGAAGTCTGGCAGTTCAAACCCACCAGCCACTCCTCAGAAGCAAGATTGGGTAATCTCCTTCCATAGCAATACTGCCTCAGAAACCCAAGGAGAGGTTGTTATGAGTCGGATCCGACTCAACGGCAGTGAGTTTTTTTAATTATTATTATTATTTTTGATTTTTGATTAGCAGTAGAAAGCTCCACAATGGCCTCAGGGTGAGGGCTCACCCAACAGGTGAAACCCATTTCCTCAGAAAGCAGGGGCCATTATAGATCAGAAAGCCTAGGGTGGGGTGATGATGCTCATGTTGCAGGGTGGCCTTGAGAATCCACCCAATGATGTATTTGGAAATGGCACAGCACACTCACACTGGGGTAGCTGCTATTACTCTTCTGACCATAGGAGAGGCAGCTAGCCAGGTATTCTCCCAGGCAGCCAAGCTCTCCACATTTCTCTGAGGCCAGAGAAGCTCATTTGGAAGACAGACCAATCCACACAGGTCCTTCTTTCCTGCACATAGGCGTTTGGTGGGCATGTTTATTTCCATTGACAGAAGCCACAGCCAACTAGTATGCAATCGCAGCTAGAAAATGAATGCATTTCTGCTCTCCTCATGGACTGAACAGTTGGTGCCTGGATAGCTGGCCTTCCCAGTAGGGCTAGGGGTAAGGGCACAAGTATTGGTGCCAGGAAGCAGGGAAAAGCAGTTATAAGAATCCAAACCCTCATCAAGCTCAACTGGCATAACATACTACACAAAAACACTGTTCTACATCCTAATTTGGTGAGTAGGGACTGGGGTTTTAAAAGCTTGCAAGTGGCCATCTAGATGCAAATTATATCTACAAGACTCTGTTTTCAATAAGGTCACATTAACAGGTTCTGGGTAGGCATAAGGACCTAGGTGGTATAAACGGTTAACATGCTCAACAACTAACCAGACAGATGGTGGTTTGAGTCTACCCCAAGGTGCCCCAGAAAAAAGGCCTGGCAATCTACTTGCAAAAAATCACAGCCATTGACAACCTTATGGAGCAGTTCTACTCTGACATACATGGGGTGGAGATGACTTAATGATGACTCGTCTGGGTGGTTTGAGGGAATATCCATTCAACCCATGACATGGTGGCAGAAGCCAGATTGGCCACACTATGAGAGCCAGAATTTACTGAGTGCCTACAGTGCACCTGGCACTAAGTACTCAACATGCACATTAGCTAGTGAGGGAGGGACAGTGCTCATCACTCCCATGGAGAACATGACTCTGAAGATTCTGAGGATCCTTGTTCAGAACAAAGAATAAAGAAAACCAAGTCACCAGAGTACAGCAAATTGACAGACAAGTGGTGGAAGAAAACCAACTTACTCACTCATCGCCATCAAGTCGGATCTGACTCACAGCAACCCCTCCTTGGGTTTCCGAAGCAATATCACTACAGAAGTAGATTGCCCAACCTTCCTTCTGAGGAGTGCCTGTTGGGTTTGAACCGCCAGCCTTCCAGTTAGCAGTCAGATGCCTTAGGCACTACGCCACCAGAGCTCCCAAGAAAACCAAAGACACATGGAAATAATTAGTCCAAAGGACTGGTAGCCTATGTGATCCTCAGGCTATATGACCATGAGACCAAAAGAACTAGATGGTGCCCAGCCAGCTACCACTGTCAACCACTGAGAAGGGGATTGGTGCAAGAGATCCTAGATAGAGTGGGAGAACAATGTGAAACAAAACTCAAAATCATAAAAAAAAAAAAAAAAGACCAGGTTTGTTCGTTGATACAGCCTGGTGAGACCCCAGAGACTATGGTTCCTAGCTACCCTTCAGGTCTGGAACTGAACTCACTTCTGTGGCCGCCAGCCAAACAACAGATCAGCATATGGGGTGAAAATTTACATCAGGTAGATGATAAATCATGGTAGAACAGAAGGGTAGTGTTTGCATAGGGAGACAGCTGCAGGGGCAAGGTGGGAATGCATAGTGGGGAAGGACACAGGGAAGAGGTAACTAACTGCAGGGAAGAAGTGGGAAGAGAGCTGTTACATTGTGGGGAACTGCAGTCAGTGTCATGAGACAAAATGTGTGTGAACTGCTGTCTGGAAAATGAATCTGCTCTGTAAACTTTCACTCAAATCACAATAAAAGCTAAAAAAAAAAAAAAAAAGAGTGCAAACCCTCAGGGCTGTCAGTCTGGTTCTGAGTGTCAGTTCTTCCCTCTGATTATAGGGTCCTATGAAATCTCCTCAAGTCCTCAGAGTTGTGTTCTCCACGGGAGTGATGAGCACTGTCCCCCCATCACTAGCTAATGTGCATGTTGAGTACTTAGTACCAGGTGCACAGTAGGCACTCAATAAATTCTGGCTCTATCGTGTGTCCAATCTGGCTTCTGCCACCATGTCGTGGGTTGAATGGATATTCCCTCAAACCACCCAGACCAGTCATCAAGTCATCTCCACCCCATGTATGTCAGAGTAGAATTGCTCCATAAGGTTGTCAATGGCTGTAATTTTTTGCCAGGACTTTCTTCTGAGGCACGCTGGGGTGGACTCAAACCACCATCCGTTTGGTTAGTTGTTGAGTAAGTTAACCATCTGTACCACCAAGTCCACCCAGAACCTGTCAATGTGACCTTATTGAAAATAGAGTCTTTGCAGATATAATTAAGTTAGGATCTCAAGATGAAATCATCCTGGATTATCTGGGGAGTCCCTAAATCCAATGAGGAGTGTCCTAAGAGAAAAGGCAGAGGGTGATTTGGCACAAACACAGAGAAGAATGCCACATGAAGACATAGGCAGAGATTGGAGTGATACTGCTGAACCCAAGTCAAAGCAAAGCTCTTTTACTGATACACAATTTAGAGCACACAAAGTTGTACTTTTCCACTGAGCAAGCTACATCAATATTAAGTGGGCCATAAATATTTCATCTTCTCCCTCCCAAGCATCTGGTTCCTATAGATTAATGACCCATAACTAACTTCCTCAGAAAAAGTTTGTTTTCTCAGAGCACCGTGCACCCCATCAAAATAAGCCAGAAGACATAGTGATGCCAATGCTTTTATCCCAAGATGACCACTGGCTATTCAGAGCCCTGTAGCTGCCTTTCAATCTCAAGCTTTTGCATCTAAAACCCTATAAAAACTCCAAGCTCCTTTACCTCAAGGAACTCACTGGTGACTCAAGTCCCCCAGATGCTTTGCTTATCGATCAGCAAATCTCAAAACCAATGTCCTGTTATTGAGTCATAGCAACACCAGGGTAGTGGATCCCTTCAGTCTGGTTTCACTGCCACAAATCAAGGAAGAGCTGGAGCCACCAGAAGTTGGAAGAGTTGAGGAAGAATCTGTCCCTAGAGGCTCTGAAAGGAGCATGACCCTGCTGACATTTTGATTTCAGACTCCTGGCCTCCAAACTGTGAGAGAATATATGTCTGTTGCTTTAGGCTGCCTAGTCTGTGGTACTTTGTTTTTGGCAGCCCTAGGAAACTCATATACTTCACAAAACCTACCGCAATACTGGAACTCCCTCCTCTGCCGCCTCCCTGCCTCGCCTCTCAGCAGCATTGCAGAGTGACCTGAGCAGCCCCTTACAGGCAGGTCTGCAGGTCCAGCAGGAGCCCCAGGACTATAGGGAACCACACAGGGGCTGTCATTTTTAAAAACGGCTTTGTATTTTATAGCTATTGCATCTGAATATATGGTAAAAAAAAAAAAAGTGACAAAAAATGTTAAATGCTTTTAATTTCATAAATGTTAGTTCATTCTGATCAGGGAAAGCTACAGAGAAAAAGTGTTAGTGAGACACAACTTCCTTGCTTTTTGCCACCAGTAGGTGGGTTGCAATTTAAATTTTTTGAGTACTGAAAATAAAACAAGCCTCCCTAAGTGATGATTTTCATTCTAATTGTTGCCTGTTGGAGCCTCTGGGGAAAGGGAGAGGACATGCAAAGAGAGGCATTCTCCAGATGGACAGGCACTGTGGCAGTTTCATAAAGCAGCTTTTCATTGCAGCGTAGTGCCTAAGGCATGTGACTGCTAACCAGAAGGCTGGCAGTTCAAACCCACCAGCCGCTCCTCGGAAGGAAGGTTGGACAATGCTACTTCTGTAGTGATACCACCTCAGAAACCCAAGGGGGGGGGGCTCACTACGAGTCAGGTCTGACTCGATGGCACATAACAACAACGAGATCTTGTGCAATCAGATGTCTGACCCCCAGAAACTGGTGGTTTGCCAGTCTGATATGCATACTTCTGAGGGTCACTTTGGACTTTTAAGTGACAAGGCAAAAAAGGCTTAGGAAAACCTTGCTTGTCACTTGGCATAAAATCCACCAGCCGCCTTCTTTTTTTTTTTTTTTAAATCTTGAACCCATTGATGCTAAGCACCTGGCCCAGACCCTAAGCTGAACCCTGGTGGTGTCTGCTGCAGGCTCCTTCAGCCTCCACACACACCATGCTCACTGACAAGCAGGCACAGTTCACTGAGCAGTGCTTGCAGTGGGGACTGCTGATATTTGAGCCCCACTTCTGTATGCTTTTCAACTATGGCAACATCATAAATGCTAGTTGGACCACTGGGGTCACATACAAATGTCCACAGGAAAGGGCTTGTTCTCTGGTGGGACCATCTGAAGTCAAACTCTGGTGGGCTCTTGATTTCTGATGCAGAGGCTTATTCTTGACTATGGATCCTGACAAAGCTACACGTTGGGGGATGGCACATGGCAGGGACTGTGACCCCTCTGGCTACTCCTGGCAGACTACTCTGTGGCCCTTGGGCATGTCTCACTGCTGTTGACTGGTGTTCATCTTTCCAGATTACATGCAGTTTGCAACAATGGGTGGCTAGCCTGGCTCTTCATCCCTCCTCCCCTTTCTCCTGGTGCACTCGCCTCAGTCAGGCAGCTTGATTAATTGTAGATCTGCCAGAAATGGACTAACCTTATCCAGAGTGCTCAATGGAAAGTTGTACCCTTTCAGTGTACTTATTTCAATCTGTATGCTCAGCAAATAATCTAAACACCTGGACTAGATGAAGAAGAACATGGCATTAGGAAGGAAGGGGTGAGGGACATGTAAGCCCACTGTCTTAGTTGCCTAGTTCTGCTATAACCCAAATACCACAAGTGTGTGGCTTCAAAAAACAGAAATTTATTTTCTCACTGTTCTAGAGGCTAAAAGTCCAAATCAGGGTCTCATCAGCGTAGATTCCTTCCTTGTCAGTGGCCCTTGGTGTTCCTTGCTTCCTTTGCTTATAGACGATCCTCATGTGGCATCTGCTTTCCCCAGTTCGTGCTCGAGTCTCTGTCTCTATGCTGCTTTTTATATAACTCAGAAGTGATTAGGTTTAAAATCCACCCTACACTGGTATAACCTCAGCTGACTGATTGATTGCTATACATTAGGAGTATGCAGTATGGAAGGTGATTCCATTACATTAGATTACCTTATATTACATCCACAGTTATAGGGGCTAGGATTTCAAACACAATTGTGGCAGACACAATTTAATCCATTACACCCACTTTGAAAATTCTGGATCTCCTCCTCATCAGTTCCTGAATACGATGTATGAAAATGTTTTTCTGTGAAAATGCATGCAACCTTTCTGATGAAAGGTCTGGGTGAGAACAGGGGATGACTGAAAAAATATAAAGTTACGATTGCTGAATGGGTCACACTGGCTATATAATGACAGAGAAAGCACAAAACCTTAGGAGGCGTGGAGGAGGGGGAGGGTATCAATGATCTTTGCTTTTCAGAATTTTTCTGGATGCTTCCCTTTCCTCCTGAGGGAAAACTCCCCTGTCACCTTTCCAAGCTGCTGTAAGGGCTCTGAATTCAATTGGAGTCCTAAGCTACAATCACACCAGACAGTGGGCAGTGACGACTTGAGACAGCAGAAGCAGCCCCAGTGCCTGTCCTTTCCACACAAAACATTCACAGATACCATCCATATTGTGAGAAGGATGAACTGGTGTGATAGACAAGCAACACTGTTTGGAACTGACTGCCTTAGACAGTCCCTCTGAAACCAAGGATGGAACTGGATTATTGGAATAGACTGAGAACACTAGGGTAGAAGCCCCACAATAGGAAGCCACACTGGGGTCCCCCAGAACCTACACTGCTTACTGTATGTTCTGCTTGGGGAGCCCCAGAAATTGTCATCCTCTGTGTGAGGGGCATCAAGTGTACCCTCTGAGATTGCATGTTTTGTGTGTGAATCCTAATTATCATGACACACAGAGGACATGCAATCATATATCAGCCCTGGAAGGCATTCAGATCAGCTTCAGCTGACTGGCCAGAGTTGTGCTATGCCTGAACTGGTGCCTTAGTCAGGTAAAAAAAAAAAAAGAGTTCATACAAAAACTTGAGGACTACAGGGCTAACAGCCTACAAGAACCACAGCCTCATCCACCCGGAGACCAGAAGAACTAGATGGCGCCCAACTACCACTAACATCTGTTCTGATCAGAGCCTCAATAGAGGGACCTGGATAGAATGGGAGAAAAATGCAGAACAAAACTCAAATTCTAAATAGTCTAGACTCACTGAGCCAGTTGAGACTGGAGAACTCCCTGAGACTATAGCCCAGAGATACCCTTTAAACTTTGAGCTGAAACCATCCCGAGGTCACCTTTTAGTGAAATAACAGACTGGGACACAAAATAAAGGATATTATCTTGTGAGTATAGGGCTCCATTAAAATAACATCTGTATGAGACCAAAAGGTCAACAATTACTCTAAAGTAAAGATGAGAAGATAAGGGGGCAAGGAAACAAGAGTACTAGAAACAGAACAACTAGAATGTAATTAAGGAGCTCTGGTGGTACAGTGCCTAAGGGATTTGACTGCTAACCAGAAGGCTGGTGGTTGAAACCAGCTGCTCCACAAAAGGTAGATGGAGTAATCTATCTCTGTAAACATTTACTGCCTTAGAAACCCAATGGGGATCGTTGTGAGTTAGAATGGACTTGATGGCAGTGGGTACAAAGCAATTAGAGAGCATATTAGCACACTTTGAAAAAATGTAACTAATGTCACTGTGCATCTTCAGTAGAAATGGTTAAATTTCTACCTAATTTGCCATGTAAACTTTCACAGATAACACAATTTAAAAAAAAATTAAGGAGGAGCCACTTGGCTTTTGAAGATACACCTTTATGGCTAAAAGGATTAGTTTTAACTGGCTAAGTCCAGGTCTCCTAAAGGGTATAGCTGAGAACACTACTATAGGTTGGTCCTACTGATGATAATTTTACTATAAAGACATCTTGGTCAATGGGAAAAGGTGTGGGCTGTGCATAAAAGAGCTAACACAGCAGGCCTGAGACTCTTCTCCTTAGAAAGACCTGCTTGGAAGGCTGGACCTTTGCTGGTATCTGGGAAGTGGGATTTTGGAAGAGTTCTCACCATTTCCTGACAGGAGTGGCTCACTGTACCTAAACTGTTTGTACAAACATTATGGTTTATTCTGACCTCCTGCTTTCCTTTTCAAAGGCATAATGTGCCTATGTGAGCAGTCTCCCATAAGCCCCTGGGTGCCAAATCTGTAATGCTGTCACAACTCATTCCTGGGGGCATTAAGTGCATCTTGTGTTGATCCCACTGGAGAGGACTTAGAAGCTTGCACTTGGTTGTCTCCAGACTTAACCCTTTTTCCCTTTGCTGATTTCAGCAGGAAATACACAAGTATCCCCAGGAAATCAGATAATATAATATACCATATATATATAATATACCATATATATATATATATATATATATATATATATATATATACACCTACTATAAAAGATGTGAAATAGCCAAGTCAAAAACCAAAGACATAAGAGAAAGAATCAAAAATGAAAAAAGGAATAAGACACTATCAATATTGACCAGGCCAATTTGAAAAACTGAAAGAATAAAAAAACACCATAAAAGTATGGCCCTTTAAAGTAAAAACTCAATGGACAGGTTAAACAGCACAGATATAATTAAAAGAAATATAGCAAACTCAAAAATAGATTGGAGGCAAATACCCATAATGCAGCCTAATTGTTTTATTTCTGTTAGAGCTATGCCCGTGGAAGTAGCAGTCAAGAAATCAAACAACTTAGTGCATTGTGCAAATCTGCTGCAAATGACCTCTTTAAAGTGTTGAAGAGCAAAGACGTCACTTTGAAGACTAAGGTGCACCTGAGTCAAGCCATGGTATTTTCAATCATCTCATATGCAACTGAAAGCTGGACAATGAATAAGTAAGACAGAAGAAGAACTGATGCCTTTGAATTATGTTGTTGTGTGCCGTCAAGTCGGCCCCAACTCATAGCGACCCCTCCTTGGGTTTCCGAGGCAGTATCACTACGGAAGTAGGATTGCCCAACCTTCCTTCTGAGGAGTGGCTGGTGGGTTTGAACCGCCAGCCTTCTGGTTAGCAGTCAAGCGCTTTAGCCACTATGCTACCACTGTTGGCAAAATATATTGAATATACCATGGAGTACTAGAAGAATGAACAAATCTGTCTTGGAAAAAATACAACCAGAATTCTCCTTAGAAGTAAGGATGGCAAGAT